TTTCCCGCCGCGAATTTTTTTAGGCTGTGTTGCTATTTGCGTAACTGTTGCGGATTTTTAACAGTTATTCATGACTGCTAAGTTTTCACATTTAGTTATGTCTTAATTATGTTTGATCCCCATGTCTTAAGTATGAAAATGGGTCAAAGCAACAATTAATAAATAATAACAAAATCCACAGTTTAACAAAAATGAAAAGTATTCGTGATCTAAATTTCTTTTTTTTAATTATTAGAAAAGTCACACTCTAACGCTATAGGCTCATGTTAAGCTCATTTGGTTCGGCAAAAATTTGAAATCATTCATTGATTTTAATGATTTTCATTTAGAGTAAAAAATTTTAAAAGACTAACGATACTTAAAATAGTTTATTATTATTATTTTTTTTAATACTTAAGCTATTCGTCTCTTGTAATGCCTAGTTAATTTTGTACGGCAAAATATAATAGAGGGCATTCCATTAAGAATACATTTAGAATTCTTCTCAAAATTAAAAGCAAAAAAGTATGCACTTTGGGGGTTGTAAGCTAACATTCCACCGAGGGAAAAACATAAACGTTATTAAAATTTAACAAATGGGGGCCGGGATAGCCTGGTTTGTAGAGTGTTGGGCCCATGTCCAAGAGGTCGTGAGTTCGATGCCTGCTGACCGAAGACTCACCGTGTAGTAAATGGTGATTGGTGCACGTTAAATCTGTCTGGGTGCAAGATCTTCCATGTTTCCATAACAAATCAAACCTCTGGGGGTACTGAATTGGAGATGATCGTTCTCTGGTTTAGGTCAAAATTACGTTCTTTGGATGAATTAATGGATGTATGAACGGGTCTGTCCGATAAACGCTGTGACGAATGTGCGTGACAGAATTCGAATTCTTGCCAATAGATGGCGCCACTGGAAAACAAGAAGAAGCTCACTTTCTGTGCCTTAATGGCATGCGACAACAACAACACCAAATCTAACAAATCACAACAAAGAAAGGCAAACGTAATAAACGACAGTTTTTATTGGATGGAGGACGATTCTTAGAAACACCTTCAACATCTAATTAAGCCTGTTTTGTTGTCTGTAACATGTGCTTCCCTTTACTTCAATTTGCCAAAATTCATTTTTTTTTATATATATTATTTTGCGACTTCCACGAGTAAATTTTTTTTGTTTTCATTTCTTTTCAGTATTCTAAAAATGCATGTTAGAAGTACTTTTTGCGGATTGACCTGTATACACTACACTGTTTGAAATTATATCTGCTTCCAGTATAACGCACTTAAACAGTAGAATTTCTATATTTATTTTTTTTGACGAAAGAACTTCGAAAAAACTCAATGAAAGTCATACATTAAGTGGTTTAATTTGCAAATTAACAACATATTCAAAACATGTAGATTACAGTAGAAAATAGAATTGAGTACTGATATATCTCCAAAATGCTATTTCTATTTACATTAAAGCAAACGGAAAAAAAACACGCTCCTCCATCTGAGGGTAGGGAATACTTTGTGCTACGAAGAATAAAGTTAAACATGAATAAGGCACAAATAAAGGTACAAAAAATAGACATGTTGCAGTTCCAGTTCTAAAAACAAAAACTGATTCTCATGGCTCGCCCAGACCACAGTGCTGACAAAAATCATTTTCAGCGGTAGACGGATCATGGGTTAGAATCCCTTTGCCGTCTGGCAAACAGTGGTAGGCTTGCGTGATTCTCCCCTTCCATGTAATGCAGATGCGGGTTAGTTCTACATAAAAAAAAATCATCATCAACGAAAGCTAGTTTGTTCCAATGCTTGATCCAGAAGTTTCTTTGTCTTCTGGATTGGGTTCCAAATTACAAGGCTACGAAGTTGAATATAGATAGTACGATACTCAAAATTGGGTACACAATCAACTCCGGTTTTAAAATAAACTAGTTAATTCAATGAGTTCGTTCTCATTTGAAATAATTCAAATATTTTGGCAGCTCCCCTTGAGTTAGATCTAAAAGAATGAAAAGAATCTCTTTGAGTTTAGAACCGAGTGTGTTAGAACTGTCATTAAAAAACGGAATTCGACCGAATGCTTGTCGTAGATGCACGTCCAGAACAAATAATAGGCCTGTTGGTGCATTTTTACACATTTCACAGAGCTAACTTTTCTAAAACATAAAACTGCAATAAAAACCTACATTTTTTAAAGTTTGCAGCATCTAGAACGTCTGCAGCGTCCAGTTTGCGTCATGATTTGTTTAGAATGTTTGAAATCTTTTTTTCAGCACACTATCAAAAGATGCAAGCAGCGCCTCCATCATAGGAACCATGTATAAAGACAGAATCTTTCTTTATGGAATAAAAACGGTGCACTAAAGATATTTATGATTCAAAATGAATTGTAAAATATTCTTAGCATTACTTTGCATCATTATCCATAAATACTGAAATAAAGGGATTTGTTAATTCGTTTTACATTAGTTTATGAAATTCCCGTAACCAGATTATTATTTTTCGTTTTAAATTTAAATATCGAATAGAAATTCTAAATAACAAATTGTTCATTTTCTACTTGATGCAAAAGTATTACTTAAGTATTACTTTCACATATGCTCTGGATTTTGGCTAATTTGTTCACAACTAATAATTTTTAAAAATATTTTATAAATACTTCTTGTACTACATGGAAAATATTTTTGAACATTCTTAAAGCAATGTGGTGCTGTAAAAAAATTCTAAACAATTCATAAGTTTTCTACCTCAGAATATCAAGTTATAAGACTCTATTAACAGAATGGGAAAGTAAATGCAAATTGACTATATTGCGCTATAGCTTCAGAAAAGAGGTAAATTGAGGTATGTTTCCAATCCTTAAGTTCTACTTGCATATTTTGGACGGAATTGAAATTTTAAAAAAATGTTTTATAAACATTCCTTGATATATAATGTTTTAGATCAATATGAGACCCATGGAACCGGTTTTAAATGGCTGTGGTGCTGTAAAAAAAATTTATTTTTTATCAGTCGTTGAACAGTTGACCCAATTTTTCGGTTTACGACTGCTAATGTTTAACTCCGTAGCCTTGTAATTTTGAACCTAATCCAGAAGACAAGGGAACTCCTGAATCAAGTATCGGGAGAAATTTGCCTTCGTGGAGGACTTTTTGATGGAACTAACCCGCATTTGCGTTACATGGAGAGGAAGACCACCAGAACCTCCCATGGTTAGCCTAACGGCAAGGAGACTCTAAGCCATGATCCGTCTACCACTGAGGATATTTCACATCAGCACTGTGGTTGGTGCAAGCCGGATGCGGAATTCGTATCGACCAGTTATCGCTGGGATTCCAACCTGGTTCACCTCATTGGGAGGCGTACGCTCTAACCCCTGAGTCACCACGGCTCTCCTGGTCACATATTTTAATTTTATAACCGCTGTTGAACAGCCGACCCAGTTTTGGGTTTACGACAACTAATGTTCAACTCCGTAGCCTTGCAGTTTTGAACCAATCCAGAAGACAAGAAAACTCCTGGATCAGTACCCTCAGTGGTATGATATATTATGGGAACATGGAGGACTTTGTGACTCGACAGATTTAAGGGGCACCATTTGCTGCACTGTCTTTGGTCGGCCAGGATCGATCCCACGTCCTCTTGGACATGGGCCCAGTGCCCTCCCAACCATGCTATCCCTGCCCCTCCTGGTCATATAGGAACATTTTAGAACAATATGACGAATCTTAGAAATGTAACCAGATAACATTATCGCCTTAGAAGCAATCGCTACATGCAATTTCCACATTAAAGAAGACCCGCTGTGGACTGATAACTAGACACTGTTCCCAGTTCAATTTTAATTACTTTCTTTTTGTGGTGTCGTTATTTCTTTATGCATTGCAGTACATACTAGACATTTTTGTTTTTTTGTGAAGATGCATAATGAAAGTTTGAATTCAAATATTTTACTGTATGATCTACGAATATATTTTAAAACTTTTTTATGATATTGCAGATAAAATAAGTTCTTAAACTGCATTTTTTTTTAAAAAAAATATTCGGAGGAAGACAAGATGTGTTTTAATATTTCCAAACTAAATACTAAAATATTTTATTAAAAAAAGCCCTTTGTTGTAACATAATAAAAAAATCGCATTGACGCATTTTCCAAAGTTATATTAACATCGTAGTAAAAATTCAGTAAAATGCTAAATAATCTTGACGTAATTAAATCTTCTACAAGTAAAATAGAATTAACGTTTTGCTTGTAAAATATTCAGAGGAAGACAAGATGTGTTTTAATATTTCCAAGCTAAATACTAAAATATTTTATTAAAAAAAGTTCTTTGTTGTAACATAAAAAAAATCACATTGAAGCATTTTCTGGGGTTATATTAATATCATAGTAAATATTAAAAATAAATTCTGAATTATCTTTACACAGAGCCGGATTATACCTTTCGTAGGCCCTAGGCACAGCCGTTTTTGGGCCCTCCCCTCCGTCCCCCACTCCTCCCCTCTTTTCAAANTGTTTATTGAACTTTATCCAAAAATCGCAAAAAAGTAATATATTAGATCATAAGATTCTGCAAAATAATTTATTACCGAAATATATTATATTTTTACTTGTATCTTCATAATTTTGTGCAAAATACACTTGTTGTTTTTAAAGCTAAATTACTTTTGTCAACAAATTTTTTTCTCACAATTTTTTCGTAGGCCCTAGGCACGTGCCTAGTGTGCCTATAGGTTAAGCCCTGTCTTTACATTATTAAATCTTCTACAAATGAAGTAGAATTAACGTCTTGTTTGTAAAATATTCAGAGGAAGACAAGATGTGTTTTAATATTTCCAAACTAAATTCTAAAATATTTTCTTTAAAAAAACCCTTTGTTCCAACATAAAAAAATCACATTGAAGCATTTTCTGAAGTTACATTAATATCATAGTAAACATTGAAAAGAAATTCTAAATTATCTTTACATCATTAAATCTTCTACGAGTAAAATGGAATCAACGTGTTGCAGATCGTCACTAATGACGTCACTGATTTCATCACAACTTTCCTCCTTCACAGACAGGAACCGGAACTTGTTTCAATAGAAGCGCGCTGAAAATTTGTAAATAATAATGGCCGACGAGTTAACGTTCACAAGTGAATGTGTTGCTAAATATATAATAGAAAATGGAGGCAGAGTGACTAACCATGAGTTAGTAAGACATTTCAAGAAGTTTTTAAATGGACCCAATAGTTTGCGTAAGTGTTATTATTTTATTCTATCATTTTCACTGAAATTAAACATCCAAATTTCATGTCATCTCTGAAAGGTCGTCTACGAACTTTTTGTTGTAAAACCAGTTACTCGTGGTAAGATGATTACTTTTCCGCATTGGAAGCATAAAATTCATATTAAATTGCTGTGATTTATTTTGTATAATATGTAGGTCACTGTGTTTGCGTATACATTTGCTATGATTGATTAATTTACTAAGATGAAATATACTGATTGATTCAGCATCTTTCTATGTTTATTTTTATAAAATGCCAGTCAAATTCGTTAGCAATTGTGATTGAAAGTTCAATTTTAATAATCTTTTCAGAATGTTTTATAAAATTTGAATAAATTTTCTAAAATCAGACTAAAATGTGACGTTTATTTTCATATCATCATTGAAAATTCGAATTAAACAATGTTTTTATTATGATTTAGGTTTTTATTTGATTTTACTTAATTCATGAAATTTACTATGTTAAGGCATTTCAATTTTAAAGAATTTTTGGATTCATTGGTTATATTTCTAAATCCAATGATAAACAATGTTTTGATTTCGAAGATACTATTTCAATGCTTTTCAAATTTAAAAAATTTTATCATAATAAATTTAATTGTGGATATTTCTGTATCATGATCTGTCGCGCCAACTACAATTGCCAAGGTGCCAAATAGATTTTGAACTTGCTCATTTTTAAAAAAAAAAACATGCAGATGTATGCCCAGGGGTGGCTACGAGTCATATTTTTCTAGTTGGCCCCTTTCTGTGATCTTCTTTTTAGTTTCTCACATACTACTACTAGTGAGTTGCCAAGACTTGGCGGTTATTCTGCCACAGAATATGATACAGAAATCTCCCCTTTTCATCTTTCATAAAATTTCCTATGATAAAGCTAATGAATGCTTGAATTTGCTGTTCATATTCCTACCATAGCACCTAAATCAATGATATGGTTGAATATTTTATTTCAATACTTTTTATGCATCGTTTATAAACTTCACATAAACTTCACTATGATTAAGCTTTCTTAGTTTTAACGAAGGCTTGGATCTGTGTTTATAAAGATTGTATGTTTTGTTTAAACCATTCTGAAAGGTCTCAATTTTAACTCCAGAAATTCACCATTTAATTAATTTAATGCTGATTAAAAACTATCATATGTTATAAAGGTGATATTTCTATGTCAGTATCTATTCACACCAACTGCAATAGCCAAGGTGCCAAAATAGATTTTTAAATCTGTAAATTTCTATTTAAATGTAATTAATTGTTGAAGATGGCTGTAAGTTATAGTCTTTAACTTGGTCTTCTTTTTTGATGCTTCTTTGTTTGCATTTTGCCAAGACTTGGAAATTATTTTGGCACACGCATCAGTATGAAAATCTTCATGTTAAAACTGTCATAATACCAGTAAACGCAAAGTAAAGAAAATATTATAACATAACACGAAGACAAAATACAAATATTTGAAATAATTTTAACTCAAGTTCAATGCAATTTATATCCAATTTTGAAAAAGATTTCAAGAAACAAGTTTTACTGTTAACTAGAAACTTAAGGGGAATTTATTTTGAATTCTTCCAAGTATTTCGGAAATAATCTTTTTGTTGTGGAAGAATTAATACTGCAGGGTGTTGTCAAATGTAAACAATAATTATTGGTATCACCGTGTATAATCAAATGTAATGAAACAAAATTTATTGCTAAAATTATATAAATCTTTCATTACGACTTGGACATAATGTAACATTGATGTAAATAACTTGGCTTCTTTACTTCAAACAGGACATTTTGCAAGGAATTTGATTGTTTTGTGTTGTTCATTGCAGTTTTTAGCACTTTCAGCTTTAAGAATAATGGGATTTGATACTTCTTACATTTAAAACTGTGTTTTAGTTAGATAAGTTTATCGTAAAAATTTTATCGTAATGAAACTTAAAATAATTACAAGATTTATGATTTTTCTTTTGTCTTTTGTTGATTAAATGTTTATTATACATATATTTTCTTTCATTTCACTTTTTTCTGATTTATCTAGTATTGAACGTCAATTTCTTATTACAGATATTTTCAGTAAGCGTTTCCAATTTGCTGAAATCAAAAATTTTAACATCATTTTCATCAACCATGTAAGACTATTATTTATTGTTAAGTTATTAAATGAAGCTTGTATTAATGGTGCAATATAGAATAAATAAATTTCAATATCATTTTCAAGCAGTAATAACGTAAAAGAACATTCTATTTGAAGCTGTTGTTGATCTCCCCATACTATATATATTTAATTCTTTTAGTGAATAAATTTTGGAATTTGGAATAATATAGACATACTGAATATAATAATGAATAAGAATGTCTTTCGTTTAAAATCTATGTATATTTTATTTATTGTGTTTTTAAAATGACTAATGAGAAATATTTGTTTTGTAGCAAACGCTCGTGCTGTCTTCAAAGATTATGTCAATGCTGTTGCTTCAATTAAGACAGAGGATGTAAGTATAATAACTGTTGTGCTGTGTTATAAGATTAAGAAAAATTTTGTATCTTGGGGCACACAATCCAAAAATATCTGCAAGCTCATAATATTTTTTTAGTACGGAATGAATGATAAAAAGCCCTCATAATATTTTTAATGATATTTTTTTAATACAGAATGAATGAAAAAAAAACATTTAACATATTTTTTCCTGACCAAAAATATATATATGTGCATGCACATNGTTATCCTAGTAAAATAGAGCATAAAATTACAAATATTTTGATACCAAATACTCAAAAAGTCATTTTTTGCACTTGTGCCGGTATCTTTATAAACCATCGATATGTGCATGCACATTAAGAACATTCGAGGAAGATTATTATATTGATCGAGATATTTAGTTATAAACAAAAATGAAATTAAAGAACTGTATTGATATTAACACTAAACATTCCATAACCGGTCAAATAACCGGCTATTGTATGTTGTATTGTTAAGTGTTGGCACATTAGTGTTTTATTATCATATTAAGAATTAAGTAATATTAATAGTTTTGCTTTTGTAATTCTTCTCCTCAAAATTCATTTTTAACTTTTATTGTCAGACGTGGGTAACTATGTTTCATTTTTATTTAATAAATAAAATTACATTAAAAGATATCCTACTGTCACCATAATTCTTTATTTTCGTTGCAAAGTGATAGCCTTGTCCAGTTGTTTGCTCATCGGCTAACGATGGGATCACTAATTTTTGGGCTAAATGAGCAGTTGTATCTTTTCTCCTCAGTAGCAGCACGTATACAACTTCTTCTACCTTGCGTGAATTATAATTATGTTGTCTGCTTATCTCATTTTTTTCCCTGCCACCGTTTTTTATTTTTTGGATACTTTTTTTTTATATTACAAAAAATATTATTAAACAAAGTACCCATAAAATTGGAGAATCTCTGCCAGTGTATCCGCAAAATTGGAGAATCTTTGCCAATATATCTGTGCACTGCATTAATCTATTTTATCTAACTATGCAACTGAGCATTATGCATTGGAAAAATATTGTATGAAATTTCTCTATAGTGTCTTCCTTTTGCATATAATTGGAATAAAATAAAAGTACTGTGTAGGAAATCAAAATAAACTCATAGGCTGTATTTTAATAATTAGTGGGTTAGCGATTCTGATAAATTAGGTGTATATTTCTTGATATTAATATAATGGTCTGGATTTAAATTTATTATAAGTTTTTTTTTCTTCTGTTACTGTCTTGGTATCATTGTGTATGATTTTTATTGTTTTCTTGGGAATTGTTTTATTGATTAATTATTAGGGTTTATTTTTAGTAAATAATGTAATATTTTTTTATGTTTGTTTCTAATTCAATATATTTTCTAATTTTTTCTTCTCATATCTGGTTGTCGGGCTACTTGCACAAATATTTCCTTTCTGAGCACTCTTTATTGAATCTCTCTAATCTCTATTGAACTTTTTAAAGAAAAATTGCAAAAATGTGTTGTAATTTTTTTTTAGTAACTGTCTTAGCGTCACTGTGCTTGATTTTTATTGCTTTGTCGGAGTTGTTTTATTCATTTATTAATAGTTTCTTTTTTAGTAAATAATGTATTTTTTTCATGGTTTTTTCTAAGTTAATATATTTTCTATTTTCTTCTCATGTCTGGCTATGAGGTACAAATATTTCCTTTCTGAGTAATCTCTATGGAATTTCTATTGAATCTTTCTAATATCTATTGAACTTTTTAAAGAAAAATTGGCTTGTTTTTCTAAAAAGCAATAAGGCCTTAAATTATTTGAGCTCGTTTTTAGGTACTTTTTTAAACAGATTCCTATGTTTAATAAACAGATGTTTTATGAATAGTTGCTTTGTGACTATTCAAATATTCCACAATCATAATTATGGCAGTTTTGAACTCCATTCTCGTCAGCAAAAATCAGCAAATCGCAACCTTTAATTTTGACTGCAATTGTGATTATCTAATTTTAAGGTTAAGTTCATTTTAATGTCTTATGTAAACATTGCTTATAACCCTCTTATACCTTTGTGAGCAAAAAATAAGCAAATTGCAAACCTCTTTTCGTCCATTAGGAGTTAACATAATTTTTGAACAGCCTCTTTACTATTTCAATAGTAAAGGAGCCTTAATGATAAAATTGTAATAATAATAGTATTAGTAGGATATGGTATGATTGCGAGTTTCAACAGGTTCTTTTCATTTAAGAAAAGCCTTTTCAAAATATTCTTATTGCAATCCTATCTTGGTTGTTATAAGGGATTTTTCATAGGCTTATCAAATATTATTATGTTGAATAAATAAGCAAAACATAAGAAAATATTTAACCATTCAAAAAAAAATTTTCTGAAGGGCTTAAGAACATCTATTTTAGCAATGTACTTGCTAATTCGGTTGATAAATGAAAATTCCATATGTTTTTTTAGAAAAAAATCATAGAGAGATGTTTTTGAGATGATTTTTTTGCCTTTGGTTTAAAATTATGTAAGTTAAAGTTAAAAGTCTGGCTTTTTCCACTGGCAGAGAACTTGACAAAATGTAACAAAGAAATAAAAACAATGAACAAGGCGAAAAAATCATTGTCTCATTCGCATCTCTCTGAACTGTTTGACCATGGTAGTCCCACAAAGTGTTCCTCAATAGAAAATATGGTAGCCATCTATAAGGATGTGATCCTTGCAAAGAGTTACAGTAAGGGTCTAGAAAGGCATCGATTTTAAAAAGATATCCAGTTCGACAGTCATGTTTAGTAAAAATTTAAATATCTGATTTTTTAAAATATTTTTTTAAAATTTTTTTATTTCCCATGCCCACCTGTGTTAACATTTCGTCAATTCAGGTATATTTATAGAGCAGATTGGTTGGCCACTCTTTCAGGGGCACCATATTAGGAGGACCAACCTTGCTCCCACAAATCGCTTATCAATAAATGTTAGTTACAATGTATTTTTGCCATGTATGAGGAATTATACACAATTAAGTCATTATTAAAAAAAATCTTGTTGCTTCTGTGTCAATAAAAGGTAAGCCATATTACATTAGTTCAAAGAAGCAATGTTCTAATTAATTGTATTGAAATTTAATGTGCGTTGAAGTTTGTAATTACTTTGTATTCTGCAGCATTTGGTTAATGGTATGTTTCATATGGGATGCATTATAGGTGAATGCTTATGTCTCTGAATTTTTTTTTAATATAAGTATGTAAGTGGGAATTTTTTTTTTAGTATACCAAAAAAAATCACATATTTCTCAACTTTATATTTTACCAATTGGCTTAGACTGAACATTTAATTTTCTTACATTCATTGGCTGAACATTTAATTTTCTTACTGTATATTTGTGATATTTTTTTCTGAATGTTTTTTTATTTTATAAATCTATGTTGCATGTTTCATATGGGACGCATTACAGGTGAATGCTTATGTTTCTGAATCTTTTTTAATATTAGTATATATATGTGATTTTTTTTTAGTCTCTTTATTTTTTTACCAATTAGCTTATAACTTATGAGCATTTAATTTTCTTACTGTCCATTTATGTAATATTTTTTGTAGGTATTTTTCTTATAAATCTGAATAGAATGTTGACAGTAAAATAATTTAATAAATTTTTTCCAGGGTGTGAAGTATGTTGTCTTAAAGAAAAGGGGTCATGAAGAAAAGGTTCAAAATTCTTCTTCCTTTGAGGGGAGCGAAGGAAGTCTTAATGAGAGAAAAAAATGCAGATTGAGCGAAGACCCGGATTGCTCATCAACAAAAAACTCAACTCCCTATGTTATTTCACACAGCAGCTCTAGTCCCTCTGTTCTTGGTACAACAACATCCATGGATCCTGTCACGACCCCAACATCACCGATTCTTTGGAGTTCAGACTTACCTCCCGGGTTGGTACCACAACCACCTCCGAGACGTAAGCATTCCATGAAGGGGAAGGAGAATAGGAGTAATAAATTTGAAGCTAGTTTGAAAATAATTAACAGTGAAAAAGAGAATGCAGTAAGTAGCATTTGTTATTTATGTCTTTTATTTATCATCTTTCATGCTAGGGTTTGTAATCTGCCTGTTTAGTTAAGAACTAAACTCAGTGGCACGACAGCCCATAGAGGGCCAAAGTCTACTGTGCCCATCTCTGTTTTCTTGACCTTTGGGCTCTGAAGTGCAAGAGCAGATGTTCGGGTTGGATGGTCAGCAAACGCAGAACTCCCAGTGTTTAGCTCCCAAGCTTGGTACTCATTTAATTGACCCATTAAAGGGATGAAAGACTGAGCCAACCTTGCCCGACCCGAGGATTGAACCCAGGACCTGTGGCACAGGAGCACGAAGCGCTACCACTCGGCCACCGGGCGTCCTGTTTAGTTAAGGGTCATTCAAATTAGGATATTTTTGGCAAATTTTTGATTCTCCTCCCCCCTTTGTCAGCAAAAATAAGCAAAGAACAATACCCTTTCCATGTCTGCCAAGTCTCCTGTTTTTTAACGAAGACTCCTGTATTTTATGACTATCTCCTGTTTACCTGTATATTCTCAAATTTCTCGTTTTTGTTGAAGAAATTTTGAAAAAAATTTGCTGATAAAATATCCACTGATGGCAAAAATACTTCTCTTATTCCTCGACAGATGGTGCAAATATCAGTATATTTTTTGTTAATTGTTTTAAGTCGAGCCGTGTTGGCTCAGGGGTATTCGCCTTCCAATGAGGCAAACCAAGGTTCAAAACCCAGTGATGACTGATTGTTACTTTTGTAGTAAATACAAATTTTTAAAAATTATTAACTGATTAAGTGGCTAAGCTAGAGAAACAAAATTAACTTGCATTAAAAGTATATTTTTAGTTTATGCCCCGGTCTCGACCCCCATGACTGTTGAATTCGTTCGGAAGCAGGCATCCGTGATTAAAATCAGCATGATTCCAATCTTCTGATTTTTTTAAAATTATTAGTTTAAATCAAATATTTATTTTTGAAAGAAATAGAAATCCCCAATTTTAAGATTTATACAGCATTTTAATGAGATAATAAATTTTTTTTTTATTATATTAAAATTTGTTGTAAATATTTTGCTATTTAATAAATTTCAGTAAATTTATTTAATAAATTTATTAGATTTCTACTTGCTGTGTAATAAATTACAGTACTTTTGAAAGGCAATTTTGGAAATCTTATTCTTTTAGTACTTACATTTATAAAAATTAGTAATTGTATATGGATTTATTTTTTCCTGTAAAAAATATGATGAAAATCCCACCAATTCCTGCTTTTAAAACTCAATCTTTAAAGCAAAATATTATTTAAATGTTATAAATATTTTTCTGTATCTTAAAGTAAGTTGAATTTTAAAAGAAAACTGTTTAAAGATAAATTCATATTACCTTTTCTTATTTTTTTTAAAAAATTATTTCTTAATTAGTATTTTATTTAATTCATTTTGTGCTTAAATATATGACAAATTTAAGTTAATTTATTTGATGCCTAAATGTTTGACAACCTGTAGTTAATATCTCCCTTCCTTCCGCAATGACACAACAGCCCTATGTGAGCCTTGGCCTTCCTTAGAATTTTATTCCAGGCTATCTACCCATCTGATTCTGAGAGGACCTGTTTTTTGAGTGCCCTTTGGTATGGCTGTGAAATTTCTCTCAGAGTGTTGGCATCGAGCATTCTGATCTGATATTGTGACCAACACATTTCTATTTTTGGATTTTGACAAAATTTATTATATCCGAATCTTTTTTTATGTGCAATTAAAACTATTTTATTTTTAGATGAATTCTATAAACAGTTCTCTCTAAGTATCCTTAAACCAGAGTACCTTGGTTTCGGAGGAAGAAGGCCTGTTAGGAGAACGCTATAATCTCTCTTACCTCCATTGTTATTTTGAAGTTTAGCGAAAAATTTATACTTATTGTAGTTCGAATGATCAAATATTATAAAGAAGAAAAAAACATTATTTGAAACTTCGTTGTTTAATTATAACTTTACTGGAACTTACTTTTCTCTAAATTTTCAATTACTTGTGAAGGAGGATTCGGCATGAAGGATTTCTTTATCGGTTTAGCACCCTCTTGTCATATGCGTCAGATTACTAATTTTCATTTTTTAAATGATCTCATTTATAAAATTTAAACTCAGTATAATTTCTTTTATTGATTGTGCTTAATTATATATTAATATGTAAATTTTATTTTAACTCTTTATGTCAATGATAAAAGCAAAGTGTGGAATTCATTACACAGTATACTCTCGATATCTCAAAGTTGAAGGGACGCTAAAAATTTTTAGAGATAGCGAGTTTTCGAGATAACAAGTTCAGAACTAAATATGTTCTAAAAAGTAGAAATATATATTTTAAAATATTACTCTATTAATAGAGTCATGATACATGAAAATAACATTAATAAATATGTTTGTATTGACAGTTGACTGTAAGTCTAAATACAACAAGGATAATTTTATTTTTAAGAGTATGTAGTAAATAATTATGCTGTTGCTGTTCATTTACGTCGCACTAGACCTGCACAATGGGCTATTGGCAACGGTCTGGGAAACATCCCTGAGGATGATCACAATTTTGATCCTCTGCAGAGGGGATGGCACCCCCGCTTCGGTAGCCCGACGACCTGCACGCGAAGTCGAGCACTTTACGGTAGAACAGTGTAACGAGGACCGATACCGCGCACCCTCAGTCCCTACGCAGACTGACCTTGCATGACTATGCATTAAACAGAAAAAAATAGGTCTTCATTAAATTTGCATTGCGATTTTTCCGAAAAAATGCATTTTTTATTTCGAAAAAAAAAATCGACATAACAAAAGCAGTGTGCGTAGCGATTTTAAAAAGTGCTTAAATGTGCTTATTTTTGATTTACGTTTTTTAAAAGCCCTTAAAGGCGCTTTTTTTTATTCGGGATTTGTAAAAAGTGCTTAATTTTCTATCTTTTAAAAAAAGATTTTTTTCTTTGCCGTTGTCGATTGTCGTTCTAACTTACGAAAAATGCATGATTTTTCACAATTTACTCTGCAATATTTATCAGAAACTAGTCATTTTATCATGATTATGTAAAGTTTTTGAAAATGTTTCTGAATTTTATATGTTTATAAAGTAAGAGCTTTAAAAGGTAGAATTTTTTTTATTTTTTATTACTGCACAGGCTATCCTAATTAGTTTTTTTTTTTGGAAAGTGATTAAAAATATTTTTTTGAGTGCTTAAGAAGTACTTAAAAGGTGCTTATTTTTTGTTGAAATATCTGGCTACGCACCCTGAAAAAGTTTTGAAAAGAAACTCTTCAACATAGGAATTAAAATTTAGATTAGGAGGCTATATAATGCGACGGGGAAAAATATTTTTTCGACATAACAAGGTTTTCGAGATATCGAGAGTACACTGTAATTAAAAATTTTGTGAAGCGAGAGTCTGGTCACTTGAAATCGCATTCAGTTTGTTTTCCTTTTTGTCCATTCCTATTTCCGCCGGATGCAAAACTTTTAACCACTTGTTTCCTTCGCACCCTTTATTATATCGCTTTTAAAACCTACTTGATTTGAAGAAAGCATAGTTCATCTTATTGAACATATACTTACTGATACATATTTTGGTTTTCATTTATTCTCATGCTTTGTGTGCTGTTGCCAGTGGCTCAATACTAGTTATCATAGTTTGTATCAATTAACTAGGATTGTCTAGCACTGTCTAGCTTCGTCTTCGACTATATTAGTTTTTTGTTTAGTGTATTTCTATTAATGCTTTAGTTCTTGCAATTATCATATTAATTAACATTGATAATGTAATGATCTTAATATTTTTGTCTCTGCCTAGCGCCGCAATAACGTTTTTCTTTATTTATTGCGTTTACAGTTTCATTGCTGTANCACCTCCGAGGCGTAAGCATTCCATGAAGGGGAAGGAGAATAGGAGTAATAAATTTGAAGCTAGTTTGAAAATAATTAACAGTGAAAAAGAGAATGCAGTAAGTAGCATTTGTTATTTATGTCTTTTATTTATCATCTTTCATGCTAGGGTTTGTTATCTGCCTGTTTAGTTAAGAACTAAACTCAGTGGTGCGTAAGCCCATAGAGGGCCAAAGCCTACTGTGCCCATCTCAGTTTTTTTTACCTTTATGCTCTGAGGTGCAAGAGCAGATGTTCGGGTTGGGTGGTCAGCCCAACGCGTAACTGCCAGTGTTTAGCTCCCAAGCATGCTTGGTACTAATTTAATCGACCCATTAAAGGGTTGAAAGGCTGAGCTAACCTTGCCCGACCCGAGGATTGAACCCAAGACCTGTGGTACGGGAGCACGAAGCGCTACCACTCGGCCACCGGGCGTCCTGTTTAGTTAAGGGTCATTCAAATTAGGATATTTTTGACTCTCCTCCCCCCTTTGTCAGCAAAAATAAGCAAAGATCAATACCCTTTCCATATCTGCCAAGTCTCCTGTTTTTTAACGAAAACTCATGTATTTTATGACTATCTCCTGTTTACCTGTATATTCTCAAATTTCTCTGTATTTGTTGAAGAAATTTAAAAAAAAATTTGCTGATAAAATATCCACTGATGGCAAAAATACTTCTCTTATTCCTCAACAGATGGTGTAAATACCAGTATGTTTTTTGTTAATTGTTTAAGTCGAGCCGTGTTGTCTCGGGGGATAGAGTATTCACCTTCCAATGACTTAAACCAAGGCTCAAATCCCAGCGATGACTGATCGTTACTTTTGTAGTAATTACAAATTTTTTAAAATTACTAACTGATTAAATGGCTAAGCACTGAAACAAATTTAACTTGCATTAAAAGTATATTTTTAGTTTATACCCCGGTCTCTACCCCCATGAATGTTGAGTTCGTTCCGAAGCAAGCATCCGTGATTAAAATCAGCATGATTCAAATCTACTGATTCTTTTAAAATCAGTAGTTTAAATCAAATATTTATTTTTGAAAGAAATAGAAATCCTCAATTTTAAAATTAATTTATAAAGCATTTTAATGAGATAATGAAATTTTTTTTTATTGTATTAAAATTTGTTGTAAATATTTTGCTATTTAATAAATTTCAGTAAATTCATTTAATAAATTTATTAGATTTCTTCTTGGTGCTGTAATAAATTACAGTACTCTCGAAAGGCAATTTTGGAAATCTTATTCTTTTAGTACTGACATTTATAAAAATTAGTAATTGTATATGGATTTTTTTTGCTTGTAAAAAATATGAAAATCCCACCAGTTCCTGCTTTTAAAACTCAATCTTTAAAGCAAAATATTGTTTAAATGTTAGAAATATATTTCTGTATCTTAAAGTAAGTTGAATTTTAAAAGAAAACTGTTTAAAGATAAATTCCATATTACCTTTTCTTATTTTTTTTAAAAAAATTATTTCTTAATTATTATTTAATTCATTTTGTGCTTAAATATTTGACAACCTTGAGTTAATTTATTTTGTGTTTCAGTATTTTTGCAACCTTAAGTTAATTTATTTGATGCTTAAATGTTTGACAACCTGTAGTGAATGTCTCCCTTCCTTCCGCAATGACACTACAGCCCTATGTGGGCCTTGGCCTTCCTTAGAATTTTATTCCAGGCTATATACCCATCTGATTCTGAGAGGACCTCTTTTTTGAGTGCCCGTTGGTATGCCTGAGAAATTTCTCTCAGTGTTGGCATCGAGCATTCTGATCTGATATTGTGACCAACACACTTCTATTTTTGGATTTTGACGAAATTTATTATATCCGAGTCTTTTTTTTTTATATACAATTAAAACTATTTTAATTTTAGTTGAATTCTGTAAACAGTTCTCTCTAAGTATCCTTAAACCAGAGTACCTTGGTTTTGGAGGAAGAAGGCTTCTTAAGAGAACGCTATAAAGCGAGAGAAACTTCTCATGGCAAAATCTCTTTTACCTCCATTGTTATTTTGAAGTTTAGCGAAAAATTTATACTTAATGTAGTGCGAATGATCAAATATTATGAAGAAGAAAAAACATTATTTGAAACTTCGTGGTTTAATTATAACTTTACTGGAACATACTTTTCTCTAAATTTTCAATTGCTTATGTAAGTGAAGGAGGATTCGGCATGAAGGATTTCTTTATCGGCTTAGCACCCTTTTGTCATATACGTCAGATTACTAATTTTTATTTTTTAAATGATCTCATTTATAAAATTTAAACTCAGTATAATTTCTTTTATTGATTGTGCTTAATTATATATTAATATGTAAATTTTATTTTAACTCTTTATGTCAAGTTTTCGAGATAACAAGTTCAGAACTAAATATGTTCTAAAAAGTAGAAATATATATTTTAAAATATTACTCTATTAATAGAGTCATGATACATGAGAAAATAACATTAATAAATATGTTTGTATTGATAGTTGACTGTAAGTCTAAATACAACAAGGATAATTTTATTTTTAAAAGTATGAAGTAAATAATTATGCTGTTGCTGTTCATTTACGTCGCGCTAGAGCTGCACAATGGGCTATTGGCAACGGTCTGGGAAACATCCCTGAGGATGATCCGAAGAGACATGCCATCACAATTTTGATCCTCTGCAGAGGGGATGGCACCCCCGCTTCGGTAGCCCGAGGACCTGCACGCAAAGTCGAGCACTTTACGGTAGAACAGTGTAACGAGGACCAATATCGCACACCCTCGTTCCCTACGCAGACTGACCTTGCATGACTATGCATTAAACAGAAAAGAATAGGTCTACATTAAATTTGCATTGTGATATTTCCGAAAAAATGAATTTTTTTTTTATTTCGAAAAAAAAAAAAAAAAAAAAAAACTAANAAAAAAAAAAAAAAAAAAAAAAGAAAAAAAATTTGACACAACAAAAGCAGGGTGCGTAGCTGTTTTAAAAAGTGCTTAAAGGTGCTTATTTTTGATTTACGTTTTTCGAAAGCCCCTAATGGCGCTTTTTTTTCTATTCGAGGTAAGTAAAAAGTTCTTAATTTTCTATCTTTTAAAAAGAGATTTTTTTCTTTGCCGTTGTCGATTGTCGTTCTAACTTTCAAAAAATGCGTGATTTTTCACAATTTACTCTGCAATATTTATCAGAAACTAGTCATTTTATCATAATTATGTAAAGTTTTTGAAAATGTTTCTGAATTTTATGTTTATAAAGTAAGAACTTTAAAAGGTAGAAATTTCCTTTTTTTTATTACTGCAAAGGCTATCCTAATTATGATTTTTTTTTGTTTTGGGAAGTGATTAAAAATATTTTTTGAGTGCTTGAAAAGTACTTAAAAAGTGCTTATTTTTTGTTGAAATATCTGGCTACGCACCCTGAAAAAGTTTTGAAAAGAAACTCTTCAACATAGGAATTAAAATTTAGATTAGGAGGATATATAATGCGACGGGGAAAAATATTTTTTCGACATAACAAGATTTTCGAGATATCGAGAGTATACTGTAATTAAAAAATTTTGTGAAGGGAGAGTCTGGTCACTTGAAATCGCATTCAGTCTGTTTTCCTTTTTGTCCATTCCTATTTCCGCCGGATGCTAAACTTTTAACCACTTGTTTCCTTCGCACCCTTTATTATATCGCTTTTAAAACCGACTTGATTTGAAGAAAGCATAGTTCATCTTATTGAAGTCATTTATTTCTTCTTGTAACTTATTGATTTAGAGACTATTTTCCTCACTTAGTAGTTGTTGTTACTTTTTGTAAGTATTATTAAAATTTACGAATGTGTTTTTTTTTTTTTTTTAAATCTCGTATCTAGTGATCTTCCCTTGAAAAATACTTCCTCAATGCGAATCCTGTTTTTATTTGTATATTTTAATTAAGAATAATTAAAGCAAAAGGCGTAAATGTTCTTGTATCGAATATTAACTAGCATACCGATTAATTTGGGCTAGTAATGCGAAATTACCAGACTCAACTGGATTTTCCAGTAGACTACTGTGTTTTGGTAGTTTCTCCTGGTCTACTGGTTCAATTAAAATTCTCCTGGTTTTTGTACGTTTTAGAAAATTCTCTAAAATTGAGTTAGTTTTCTAAAAAGAATCCCTATTGAAATAGAATTTTTGTACACATTATTGCTTGAATATTTAAGTAAGTATTACTAATACAGCGAACCTCATTTATAAAACTCAGTTTAGAACTTTTTTATTTCTAAAATGTCCAGTTTATTTTTATTCAAGGCTTTTTAAATTAATTAAAAAATCTTTTAACCATCTTTGATGAAGTAAATGCCTTTTAATATTCAAAATTATGAGTAAACATAACATTTCAAGTATGTTTAATGTCAATCAAAACTGGAAAATATTGCAGTTTTTTTTATTTTGATGACTATAAAAATCTCTAAAATTCCCTATGTGTGAAATATTTAGTACATTTTGCAACAATTATCATGAAATGTATATTATTTTGTAAAATCTACTGCATTTTTTTCCTATTCATATTATCAGCTATGGTTACAAAACCAAACTTTGCATTAACATTCCTTCTTTTCTCGACGAACTTGGAATTTTAACTATCAAAACATGGATGATATTCACAAGCTGAAATTTATGATATCGACGGTTTTATTCCGCGGAACCCTAGGGTTCCATGAGAGGCTCACAGGGTTTTGCGAGAATTAGGACTTTTTTTTTAAAAATCAGTAATGATCACTCTTGAACTTTATATCCTCAATAATTTAAGCTACTTTATTCAGAGGTAATTATGTAAACAATAATAATTATTTGAGAATTACTTTTTACCGTTTAATGTAATATTGATCAGAGAAATTTTGCATTGTAAGGCATGCCAGTTTTTACATAATTTTAATCGATCTATACAGATATTTCTTTTTTACGGTAACAATGAAAGTCCTCATTTTTTCGCTTTTGCAGCGAAGAATTGCAATATCAAGTGTGTGATGTGTCATAAGCATGAAAGGGTATACTCACTTGTTAGAAAATTTCTGCATGAAAATTTTTTTCTCGTGTGGACAACGGGAAGTTCAAACAAACTGAGCTATAAGTTGGGTAGCATTAGAAGGTTAAAAGCGAATAGCTTAGATACCAAAGAGTGTGTTCTATATTATGTTTTAATTATACTTATGTTCAATAATGATAACAATCATACTCAATAATAATAGTAGTTTTATAGTTGTAAATTATATAATTGTATTTTTAATAGTAATATTTTTTTTAAATATAATTGTTTTGTTTCTGCATGTTTTTTTTTTTTTTGCATATTTATTTCAATTTAAAATTTTTATTTTAATTAAGTGTTATTGACTAAAAATTATTATTATTATTATTTTAAAGAGGAATTCGTTTTGAAAATCTTAATAATTCATTTATATTTGTAAGATTTTGCCCCAAAACACATTTCAAAAGGATAACGAGCATAGTTTGCAAAGCATACCATATAATATTGCATAGCAAATAGGAGTTGGGAGCGTAGGCGAACAGGGGCGAGCCCTAATGTAATTTTAAATGACAAAATTTGAGCAGAATCGGTTAAGAAGAATATTTAATTTTTATTTTTATAAATTAGAATGGAGAAATGGGGGGGGGGGCGGTAGCCTGGTTGGTAGGGCACTGGGCCCATGTCCAAGAGTTCGTGAGTTCGATCACAGGCCGGCCGAAGACTCCTCGTGTAGTAAATGGTGACTGATATACGTTAAATCTGTCGAGTCGCAAAGTCCTCCAAGTTCCCATAACAAATAAATACCTCTGGGGGTACTGATCCAGAAGTTTCATTGTCTTCTAGATTGGTTAAAAAATTACAAGGCTACAGAGTTGAACATTAATAGTCGTAAACCCAAGATTGGGTCGGCTGTTCAGCGACGAATATAAAATAAAATAAAATGGAGAATAAGATACTTGCAAGTGACGTAGTGTGGGTATCTCGATCCTGATTGGTTATTTAAACTTGGCATTTGTTTACGTTAGTAACTGTTCTTTCCATTTTAGTTCGAGTAAGTCAAGTCCTTCAAGTGTTCACTTAAGTGACACATTCTAAGTTCTTACACGAAGATTTTTTCTCAAAGAGTTCAATTGTTTCACTATCACAGAGACTTAACACAAAGACAGACGCGAAGCCATAAGGAACGTAAACAAACTTATTATGCATCGAAGTTGCCAGGTGCACAAAACAAAAATATATCACGGTTACAATAAAACACATAAATAATAAATAAGAAGTTAAGTAAGAGAAGTAGAGGAGATAGAATTATATTTCAACTCATTCGATGGGCGATACGACTCTATATTTAATTAACTTTCCGCTAATTAACATTCTAATTTATGTAGAAAAACTCAGCTCATTTTTAATTTTTATGGAAGAAATTAAATAATTGCATGATTATTCTGTTTTTTTTTAAAAAATTAAAGCAACACTATTAGTTCTATTGATAATTAATTTGTAAACGAGAAAAACGATGTTTTTCGAAGCTCTGACTCCAAGAAATGTTTTTAAAAAGCCGCAGTTTAAGTGCCTTACACTTGAAACAATGCAGTGATTTTAAACGATATATATAATCTTGCCGTGAAGAATAATCTGAGCTTTAGAACTAACAAATAACTTAAATATTTTAAAAGCTATTCATTTTTTTTTTTTTAAATCTCCAATCTGGCGACATTTTAACACCTTGGTGAATATTTTCAAAATTACTGCCTTATTCTCAGTTTTTGCAATTTTGTATAATTATGCTCAGGTGTCGTCGCGGGCCACATATCGAGAGCTGGCGAGCCGCGGATTGTGCCGAATTTATTATTTATTGGAAATGTTACGGAGCATAACTATTAATTTTAAGAATTTAAATTTTCAAATGTCTAATAATTAATTGCAATTTTAATTTATAAAAACTAAAGGGAAGAGTCCTGATTTCCTTTTTAGTTTGCTTTTGAAAATTAAATAAAATAACAAGAAATTAATGTATTAATTATCCTTTTTTTTTGCTTAGGTTTGTTTTTATTTCCTTATTATCTAATTTTAAATCTATGACAGTGAAGTTTTTTATGATGGAAGTCTCTAAAAAGCATATTTAATATTCTCCCTTTTTTATTTATTCAATTCCTACTATTATTTCACACTCTCCCTATATATCTTGTTCAAATTTTCAATCGTTAACAAAATATTTTTAATTCATCCACTCAAGTTCAAATACATATTTTTAAACTTCTAGTGGATGACACTTGATGTTAATACAGTTTTTTTCTAATATTATAATTCATTCATTAAATAGGGATGAGAAAAAGCGATATGGAATTTCCTGATGGGTTGAGCGTTAGTCATTGTTTTAAATTTTTCTATAAGCTATTCAGTTTTTCACAAATTTTTAAAATAACATCAGCTATAATTTCTAACTTATAATTCTATTTGAACAAAAAAAAAGGTCTTTCACATTTAAATATTTAATTATTTTATATTCGTTGTGTCAAATAAATTCAATAAAGAACATTACGCTGTAGCACGTGTGGTTCATGTCACCAAATTTATACTTATATTGTCTGATACCACGCGCCTTTTTTTTTTTTTTCTTCAATTCCTACTGTTACTTCTCACTCTCCCTATGTATATTTATATATCTTGTACAAATTCTCAATCGTTAGTAAAATACTTTTTATTCATCCACTCAAGTTCAAATACATTTTATTTTAAACTTGTAGTGGATGACACTGGATGTTAGTACAGTTTTTTCAAACATTAATACATTCAANAATCTATGACAGTGAAGTTTTTTATGATGGAAGTCTCTAAAAAACATATTTGATATTCTCCCTTTTTTATTTATTCAATTCCTTTAATTAGTTCACACTCTCCCTATAATATTTTGTTCAAATTTTCAATCGTTTAATAAAATACTTTTCATTCATCCACTCAACTTCAAATACATTTTCTTTTAAACTTGTAATGGATGACACTTGATGTTAATACAATTTTTTCAAACATGAATTCATTCAATAAATTTAATTAATTAATTTTAGATTTATATGGGAGAAAAATTTTTAATTATTTAAAAAAAAGTAACTAAAATTAAATTTTTCTTTGTTGACCTAAGTAGGAATTGACTTAAAAATTTTTTTTACATTAATTCTTTATAATTAAAATTAAAAAAACACAGATTTTTTTAAGTACTTTTCAGCGTTGGTTAATAATCCCTCAATTTTCTTCCTTCTATGATTAAATATGTGACACACTGGCTTATACTGATATTGTGATTCTATTTGTGTGTTCAGCTTTCACTCGATTTGGTTAGTCGTGATTCTGCATAAAGTTTTCGTGTCACGGGAGGGGGGGGGGAGAGAACATGGCAAAGGAAGAAAACAAATGTCACGTATAATTTTTGTATAGTGTTCGATTTCAAATAATCTATAATTCATCATTTTTGAGGGCTTTTTAATTTCTCCTATTCTAAGAGAAGTACGCGAAAGAGTTTAGTACTGTGTATCTGAAGTTTGGAAGATAGCATATTTATACTAGATTAGACTTTTAAGTAATGTGTGTTTATCTGTATCGATACTTTTAAGAGAATGGATTAGTGTTTAGTTTTGTGTGTGTCTATATCTATATTTTGCGTGTTCAGGAGTTTGAGTATACATTGGACTTAAATTTCAGTTGTGTGTACCTATAGTTCAAGAGATTGGCTATATATTGGATTAGAGTTTGGTTGTGAGTATCTATAGTTCAAGAGATTGAATATATATTGGATTAGAGTTTAGTTGTGTGTAACTATAGTTTAAGAGATTGGATTAGAGTTTAGTTTTGTGTATATACCTATTGTTCAAGAGATTGGATATATATTGGATTAGAGTGTGGTTGTGTGTAACTATAGTTCAAGAGATTGGATTAGAGTTTAGTTGTGTGTACCTATAGTTCAAGAGATTAGATTTATATAATTTTGAATTTGTCAAGAAATCGAAGTAAAAGTAATTCCCCTTATTTTAGTTCTTTATATATATGCATGTATATATATAATAAAGTCAAAGTTAAAAAAAGTTTTTTTTTTTAAATTTAAGAAAAGGCCAAACAGGAGAGCGGATCGTTAAACGCCGCTGGATTGTAAAATCACAGCCCAGAACGATTAAAAAAATTGTTATTTATTTTGGGCGGTAATCCTAGCCTGCCTGATATCTATATGATTTTTTTGAGGGAAAAAAAAATATAGAAATATAGAAAAAAAATATGGATAAAAGAAATTCGACTACCCTATTTACAACTTTGGAATTTCGTGTCTAATTTTGGTTTTAGTTTGAAAAAATCATTAAGGCCGTCGACAAAATATGTTTCTAAATCTTCTTTGTCGACTATTTCTTTTCATATTCCCTATCACTAAGATTCCGTCAGATATATAATATCACCTTAACATACTCTGCCCGATTTCCATTTCTGTAATTTTATTTTGAAATTTTAGTTTCTGTTTGAAATAAATTAAGTACATCGATAAAGTAGGTTCCTTAATCTTTTGTCGAGTATTCTTTCATTTCCATTGTGCCAAAGATTCCATTTGATCTGTAACTTCACCAACGCTTCATCTGTCCTATTAACATTTCTGGAATTTTATTTTGAAATTTTGGCTTTCTCGGAAAAAAATAATTGAAGCCTCCAACAAAACGTTTCTAAGTTTTTTGTCCTTCAATTCCATATTTTCTAAGATTCCATAAAATGGAGAATTTCACTTTAAAACTGCTTTTTATTTATTTTATTTTTTGTAGTCTGGTCCAACTAAGGACGAAATAAGAGAGATCTGCAGTCCCGGCAGCGTGAAGGAAAAAGCTCATTTCCTGAACAAAATGGCTTCTGAAAATGATGTATCCAAACTTTCAATAAGTAATAGGAGAAGAGATCGTGATGACAAGGTGAGTTTTTTTTTAAAAAAATTAATTACAATTGATTAAAATTTTATTCTTTTTACTAATTTACTAGCTTAATACCCGTTCTCAGTAGAGGATGGAAAAAAAAAATTAAACTAACAATAAAACACTACTAAACAACACTACGAAATCATGCGCAAAACTGAAAGACGCATAACACAATTAATAAAGATAAAATAATTCCTTTTTCTATTTATTATTTTTTTATCCCTGCTGGTGACTTTCCGTTATTAGATCAAGCAAAACACGTTTTTAGTAGTTTATCCCATCTGAATAACGATCAACTGTATTCTGTATCTTCTGAAATGATGTTATTGCTCGACGCCAACTCATTATGGTCAAAATTTACCTCAATCAAGCGATTTTCTCTGATCTACCTATTCTTTCGAAGTCCCTTAAAATATGTTTTTCAGCAATATATTTATTAAAACTTTACAGTTATGCAGTTTTAGTAGGTACCAAATATACTAATTATGCCTGCATTGATATGTTTGGTATTACATTAAATTGAAGCGACTACCATAAGTGTGTGTTACCAAAAGTATAAGCGTTGGCTTCAATAATAGTATTGCGATTTTTTACTTTTTCCCTAAACGAATTCGTACCATATCTCTATTAGTTTTGCTATTTAGTGCATAGTCTGTATTTTTCTTCTAGGTTTACCTATTACCAAAATTAATTTAAGCTTCGTGGGCATCAATATCAGTTTGGCGATTTACTACGCTTCTCCTAAATTAATTAGTATCATTTCTCCATTAATTTTCCATTAATTAATTTTAGTACCGACCCCAATGCCGACGTGAAATGTTCTCAGTGCTTGGCGGATCATAGGTTAGGATTTCCTTTCCGTCAGGCTGACAGTGTGAAGTTTTCGTGGTTTCACCTCTATGTACGGATTAGTTCCATTCAAAAGTCCTCCATGAAGGGAAATTTTCCCAATGCTTGATCCAGGAGTTCCTTTGTCTTCTGGATTATGTTCGAAATTACACGGCTCAGGAGTTGAACATTAGTAGTCGTAAACCCAAACGATTGGTCCGGTGTTCAACGACGGTTAGGAAATATAAAATTAAATTTGCTTTTAGGGATAACTGTGGAGGCTCAGGTGATAGAGCGTTCGCCTTCCGATGAGGTGAACCGGCTTGTTCTAATCCCTTTGATGGCTGATCGATACGAATTCCGCACCCGGCTCGCGCCGACCACAGTGCTGACGTAAAAAATATTCTCAGTGGTATACGGATCATGGGTTAGAGTCTCCTTTCCGTCAGGCTAACCCTGGGAGGTTTTCCTCTCTGTGTAACGCAAATGGGGGATAGTTCCATAAAAAAGTCCTCCACGAAGGCAAATTTCTCCCATTACTTGATCCAGGAGTTCCTTGTCTTCTGGATTGGGCTCAAAATTACAACGATGCGGAGTTGAAAATTAGTAGTCGTGAACTCAAAAAATTGGGTCAGCTATTCAACGAACTTTTAATTTGAAAAATATTGAAAAAATTTGATAATATAATAAAATTCTGATGTTCTCGAAGATTGTGACTAAAAATTGATAAAATCCTATTTATAGTTTTGAAATATTTATTTACATTTTATTTTATTATATTTATTTTAATAATTAATTATTTTTTAAATTTAAATATGGAAATTGCTTGAACACGCATTAATAAAGTTTCTATAAAAATGTTTTAAAATTTTTTTAATGGCATTATTTTTTATTTTGTGATCAGTTTTGTGCTTTTCAAATGCTTTTTTTTTTGGCATTTTTTATAGAACTTTTTTGTCATCAATATGTTAGCTCTGATAATCAGTAATCACGAAAAAAAACAACAACAATTATTTAAAGTCACTTTTATGTAAGTTCTAAGTTCCCAACGTAAGTGGGGGAAAAAAATCCGATAGCTACACCTGATAATTCACACAATAAAAATATCATACGAAGACAGTTTCAATAAATTTCATTCTTTATTTATTATCGTGTTCGATGACACGATAGTAAATTGTAAAAATAAAACCGTTTGTTTTAACTTAAAATTTATGCTTGCCAATTTGACAAACCTTATTTATTTCATACTTCCTGTTCCAAATGGGATTCTTTTTCCCCACCCGTTGCCATTCAATGGATGAAAAGTTAAATTAACGTCTACTCTAATAACTACTTCAGTATTATCCAATTAAGCAGTCACCAGATTGTTTCTTTATAAATTTAGATTTATTAACTAATTCAATTTAATGTCATTCGTATAAAAGCATAAATTTTTTAGAGGTAAGATTTCTTTAGAATTAAACGTGCCATGTTTGTTAAAAAAGTGTTTTAATTCTACAGTTACTATTATATATTTATGTTTTTATGTGTATTTTTTTATTAATTTTATTCTTTTCAGGGAGGAGAATATGATGATATGTGCTCTGTTTCTAGCGTAAGTTTGTTTTTATTTCTTTATGAATAGCTAATATGTATTATTTCACTTTTGATAAAGGCATATTTAACGTTTCGCTGTTTGTACTGATATGCTAACTAATTGTAATGCATTTGGAAGCTGCAACTAATGTACTTTTAATCAAAGTATTTTTTGTTAAGGAAATTTAGATTATTTTTGACTGGGATTTTTTTAATATAAAACTATGTAACTGGTAAAAACTTTTAAAATAATTATTATTAATAATTATAATATTTATTAATTTTTTTACTTTAATTAAAATACTTTTATAGCACTTAAACAAGTTAATTTTGATATCTTTTAACCAAGATTCTCTTTGATGAATACGCAAGTGTCCCAATTCAAACCAGAAATAACAAAATCAAATGACACTCGGGATTATTTATTTATTTATTTATTAAAACTGCTCTTAAAAAATATATTCCCATATTGTAAGTAATAAGTTCGTAATAATAATGAGTGACCCAATAAGTAAGTAATAATGAATTTCAACTTTATTCTTATAATTATTTAGATGAAATTTTCAAGCAGAGTTTAGTATAAGTGTTTCTCAATTTCAGAGATTCAAAGTCTAATATCCTTCTTCTAGATAAGATATAAGTGGTCTTAATCTTTTAAACGCATGGGCATATTCGATTTCAAAAACACAAAAATCCACTGAAAAAAGTACTTAAATTCTCTCCCCAATTAATCGAACTAAATGGGTATTATGGTCGGTGTTTGTGCCACAAAATAGCATATTTCATCATAATTGTGGACTTAGCACACTCTTAATTGTAATTTTTTATTTAATGAAAAATTACAATAATGATGTTCACAATTATGATGAAATATGCTTTTTTGTGACAAAAACACAGACCGTAATATCAAATTTTAAGAAAATTATTTTGATGAAAACAAATGAACGGACCAGGGAAAAACCTTATGAACTTGTTACTGGGCTATAGGACCATAGGAAATTTCTACCTCTGACTGGTATTGCTAAAAATATTGTAATATCTTTTATTACATAAAAAGTCCTAAGGCGGTTTGATATTTTTTTTCCCAATGTACTGCAATAAACAATTTTGATAAATATGTATACTTGTTATATTATTTGAAAAAATATTCAGTACTCAACACAGTATATTTTTTACAGTATATAAAATTGCGGTATATTATATTATTTGAAAAAATATTTAGTATACTCAATTATTCAGAACTCAAATAAATATTCAGTACTGAAAAAAAAAAATCAGCACTCAAAAAATACTCAGTACTCAACTCAGTATATTTTTCTCAACAGCTTGATCCAAGACGAAAAGAGTGGATACTTAAATCCGCTTCCAGTGATTATCACGAATTAGTTAGATTATTGCGAGAAGAACCTAAACTGGTGAATGTCACTGTAAGTATTCATTTTATTTTTAAAAAATTTACTTTTTAATTTTATATGGAAGTCTTGGGACAATAGAGTGATTAGCCATGCTTTTTCTACTAGGCGCAATTTTACAAACCGTACCTTAGTGTTGTTTCCAGATTGTTACTTTAAAGTTTCTGGAATTTTCATTCGATGACATATTTGTGTATGAATATTATGTTTTTCTTCAAAAATACCCTTCTAAACAATACCGAATATTTCCTGATATAACTTATTTAGGATAAGAAGCCCTTCAAATATTGTGTAAGCACATAAAGAGGTTTTTTTTTATTAATTTTGCTGACAATGGGGGAAGCATATGAACAATGCTTACGCAAAAAAAAAAAAAAAAATCCCCTTTTTGAAATTATTTTTAATGCAAGAAAAGGGAGGGGGGAAAATCAGTTTCGGAAAAATTTACCATTTGGAAAGATACATTTGGAGAAATAAAAAATTTGAAAAACAATATCTTTAACGAGTTAAGTTTCATGAAATAGTCATTATTTTTTTTAATAAAATACTAGAGGACTAAGCCCCTAGTTCGCTGACGCTCACCAACCCCGATGATTGCTTCGCAATAATTTCTGTTTTTTGTCATGAAATAGTTGAAATTATTCGACTAAAAATATATGTACTAAAAAGAACATTTCTCCCGCCACTTCCCATGTCCAAATATTTCCCTCCCTTATGATATACTATTAAGATCTATTAGTGAATTTAAATCATTTTTCTAAGTAATCATTTTTTGAAATAACATTTAAAATTATAAGTATACTGTTTTAACAAATTTTTGTAAATTCACAACTGTGATTTAATATTTTTGCTTACCAAACTAACGGATGTATAATTTAAATAGAATTTTTGCATTCATCACTTTGTTCATGAAGCTGAAAGTTAAATTCTAAATCACTTAACGAATCTCTTTTTACCTTAATTCATAACAGTATAGAGTAATTTGCACCTAAAAATTTTTAATTTTTTTTTTAAGAAACGAAATTAAACTAAATAAATATTAAACACATAACTAACTATTCAACACTACTTAAATTATTATTTGAGACAATCCAACCAAATGAATTACTATTTATAACTACAATGTTGCCAATTTTGATAAAGAAATACCCGATTTTTACGGTGCCACGTAAGAGAAAAAAATATAATAGATAAACGTATTTAAACTTATAATTTGTTGTGGGGCAGCCGAAGACCCCATTTTATTTATTATTTTTTAAAAAGTACCTTATAGTGGAAAAATAATTGCGTGTCTCAATCACTAGAATCCCAGAGAGACCGCAAAACATTCGATACGAGCATTAAAAAAAAGCAAATAGAATTTTTTTTATAGTTGGCCCAAAAGAAACTGTAGACGGTGAAGGATATACGTAAATCTACGCCCACCCTACTCGTGCGTGCAGGTTATGTAGTGCGCGTGCCAAAAATTCCAAAGTCAACGGGTGGGCACCTAAAAATCATCTCGTCTGCAAGGGGGCTTCCTGGTAATATCTTTAAGACCCCCTGACAGAAGAAATATGTGGTGCAAGTGAAAGGTATGACAGTTTTCCTCGTTGACTTGGTTATGTGATGGTGTTTTAAAGAAAATGTAGGCGTGTTTACATGCTATGGAATATATTTTACTTGTTAATCTTTAGATCGCTGTAACCGTGATTGATTTCACTCCAATGTGGCTGGGTAGTTTCGTCCTTTAAAAAATGTCTTACTAAAGATTGTAATTTGTAGTTTTTTTTTAAATTTATTTATTTTTCTTTTTGTTTTATTTGAAAGTATGGGGCTGCGATGGCAAGTTTTTCCATCCATAAATAAGTTTCTTCCATCCCAAGTGGAAGAAAGGGAAGAAAATCTTTAGAAATGTAAAGAATTAAAACGATTATTTTAAACAGTTTATTGTCGCACTATACTTTAAATAATAGTTTTAACTCCGAAGCTTTTTAATGCATTCTTAACACTAAACATACCAACACTTAATATCTACCTATTTCTACCTTAGACGGTCAAATGACGGGACTTAATGTTTCTTGATTGAAATAAGAAATTTTAATTCATTGCCCGATGCATTTTTTACATATACAGGGTATTTCCATTGTACATTTTCCGCAAACATATTTCTTCTAATTATTATTATTTCTATCATTATTATTATTTCTATAATTCTTACAATTATAAGAATATATATGAGAATTATAATTCTTATAATTATTCTTATAATTAATATTATTTCTTCTAAGAACTTGTGCTGTCTTGATTGTTTCGACATTTTTCTGGGTAAAAACAGACAGTTAGTTAGAAATGAAGTAAAGCTATCAAAATAAAATATAAGCTACTTACCAAAACATTTAGTTTTTGTCACTTTTTCTGTCACAAAAATGTAAATCTAAAATTTTAGGTACTTTCTTGAAATTTGAATTCACAGTTATTCTGATTGAACTAACTACGTAACAGTCTTTGCAGAAATGTGCAACTATAATCGAATGCAATACGTTGATCACGCATTGCATCGTAATTTCTGATTAGATAACCTTATAAAGCAATAAATTGTTCGTCAGGTCAAATGACCGGTTGTGATAGTACAAGTATTACCACAAAACAAACAAAATACAAAAAAATAAATAAATAATAATAATAAAATATTTACAGTATATAATTGTTAGAAAAAGTCATGAAGGGAAATGTGCAAAAACGATAAGATGATAAGCACATTGTCGATGCAAAAGTTCTTAAATGGTCTTACAAAGTGTTAAATAAGTGAAAACTAAAAAGAAGTAAAAAACAGTTAGTGTAGGGATGCATTAACTTTTTTTTTTTTAAAATTAAAGTGGTATGATTGTCCAAAAACCTCTCACGATTTATTAAAAAACTCTTACGGTTATAAAATTTTTTTTGGGGGGAGGGGGAGAAATAATTTTTTTAATAACTCGATTTAATTCCAAGATACACAATATGCTTTTTTTTTCATGACGGTATTTCTTTTTTTAAAAAAATAGCAAGTTCCAAAAGTATGTTTTCTTTTTAAAAAATTTTTTTAATTTTATTTTTCGATTCCATCTCCATTGAAAACATCTTTTTTTAAAATGTTCCATCTTGTAATTAAATGTAGATGTCGCTTCACTTGTTTGACTAGTCAGCGATCGCTCGTGAACAAATATTGAAGCGATGATTTTACGGAACAGTTGTTAATGATCCATCGTATTAGCATGAGTCCATATCGAATTTGCATCGTCATTATTTCAATATCAGGAAATGAAAAGCGAGAGATCCGGTTCTTAGTGTTTACATTTTCGATGCTTCTAACATTTGCATACCCGGCTGTTTTTTTCATATTTAAGTTTTTTTTATTTTTTAACCCTTTGCATAGTATTTCTTAAAGCGTTTAACTTATACTCTTTTGATGTTTTTTTTAAGGGGGGAAAAAAGAATAATCGTTGCAATAGCAAAAATGAGTGCCTCATCCCCTTTGTTTTGGGGATCCTCATAGAGGGATCTGTTACACTTTCCAATAAACACATGTTTCTTTGCAATCACAATTTTAGTACATTTTATTCTATAATACATTCCGTTTATATTTCAATATATATCGTATATATCAATGTTCAACTCCTTAGCATTGTATATGGAAGTCTTGGGACAATAGAGTGATTAGCCAAATTACCTTAGTGTTGTTTCCAGATTGTTACTTTAAAGTTTCTGGAATTTTCATTCTATGACATATTTGTGTATGAATATTATGTTTTTCTTCAAAAATACCCTTCTAAACAATACCGAATATTTCCTGATATAACTTATTTAGGATAAGAAGCCCTTCAAATATTGTGTAAGCACATAAAGAGGTTTTTTTTTATTAATTTTGCTGACAATGGGGGAAGCATATAAACAATGATTACGCAAAAAAAAAAAAAAAAAAAAAAAAAAAAAAAAAAAAAAAAAAAAAAAAAAAAANATTTTTACATATACAGGGTATTTCCATTGTACATTTTCCGCAAACATATTTCTTCTAATTATTATTATTTCTATCATTATTATTATTTCTATAATTCTTACAATTATAAGAATATATATGAGAATTATAATTCTTATAATTATTCTTATAATTAATATTATTTCTTCTAAGAACTTGTGCTGTCTTGATTGTTTCGACATTTTTCTGGGTAAAAAATAACCTTAGTTAGTTAGAAATGAAGTAAAGCTATCCAAAAAATATAAGCTACTTACCAAAGCATGTAGTTTGTGTCGCTTTTTCTGTCACAAAAATGTCAATCTAAAATTGTAGGTACTTTCTTGAAATTTGAATTCACAGTTATTCTGATTGAACTCACTACGTAACAGTCTTTGCAGAAATGTGCAACTATAATCGAATGCAATACGTTGAACACGCAATACATCGTAACCTTATAACCTTATAAAGCAATAAATTGTTCGTCCGGTCAAATGACCGGTTCTGATAGCACAAGTATTACCACAAAACAAACAAAATACAAAAAATAATAATAATAGAATATTAACTGTATATAATTGTTAGAAAAAGTCATGAAGTGAAATGTGCAAAAACGACAAGATGATAAGAACCTTTTCGAAGCAAAAGTTCTTAAACGGTCATTTGGCCGGTTATGGTATTTTTAGTGTTAAATAAGTGAAAACTAAAAAGAAGTAAAAAACAGTTAGTGTAGGGATGTACAACTTTTTTTTTTTAAGTATTAAAAGTGATATGATTTAGGCAATTGTTCAAACACCCCTCACGGTTTATTGAAAAACCGCTTACGGTTATACCAGTTTTTAATTTTTTTTTTTTTTGAGGAAATAATTTTTTTAATAATTCATTTTAATTCCAAGATACATTTTCTTGACGGTATTTCCTTAAAAAAAAAAAAAAAAGAAGTTAAGTTTCAAAAGTGTGTTTTCTTTCTTTTAACATTTTTTTTTTTTTAATTTTATTTTTCGATTCCATCTCCATTGAAAACATCTTATAGTTTTTTTTT